ACCACGAGCACACTGAGTTATGGAGTGACTATCATCATGTCCTCAAGAGCATCGAAGGCTCTCATGCAATGGGAACCGATCTCCTCCTGCAGGATCATGACAGCAAGATTCAACTCAAAAGGAAGGAAGGTCACAATCATACAATGTTATGCACCTACAAATAATGCAGAGCAAGAGAAAAAGGAGGAATTCTACAGACAACTTCAATCAACACTGGACAAGACGTCAGTTGGCGATATCAAAATTTTAATGGGCGACATGAATGCCAAAGTGGGAGCAGACAACACAGGAAGAGAATTAACCATGGGTCGAGAAGCGCTCGGTGAGGTGATGAACGAGAATGGACAGTTGTTTGCAGAATTCTGTGCATTCAACGATTTGGTGATTGGAGGCAGTGTGTTCAGGCACAAGGATATCCACAAAGCGACATGGATTTCGCCAGATGGATACACTTAAAATCAAATTGACTTTATCTCAATCTCAAGAAAATGGAGACGCAGTCTACTGAACACAAGGGCAAGAAGAGGAGCAGATGTAGGTTCAGACCACTCACTGTCTAGTGCAAGGAACCTTCCAAATTAAGTTAAAAGCCTTCAAGGAAGCTGTTGATAGACCACAGTTCGAGTAAAACACTTGGAAACTGAAGGATGAAACTACAAAGTAAATCTTCACGTCAGCTATCAATACAAAATGGGAGATATCGAGCAACATACCTGAAGAAACCTGTGTAGAAGAACACTGGAAGTCTTTGGAAGAGATGTGGAAAGAAACCTGCACAGCCGTAATAGGACGGAAGAAGAAAGAAGATAAGGAATGGATGTCGACGGATACATGGAAGCTGATAGAGCAGGGAGAGGACGATGGTGAAGCAGAAGATGAACCAGTGCATGGATGCATAACGACAAGAGGAACTGAGCACAATGTATAAAACACTACACTGGACAAAGAAGTGAAGAAGAGTGCACGGAAATACAAAACACACTTCTACGAAACACTGGCAAGTGAAGCAGAACAGGCTGCCGGCTGGTAGGAGAGACCTGATGACATTGTATCAAATAACCAGGTTGCTATCAGGGAAGAGACCAACACAGATGAAACCAATAAAAGATGAAGAAGGAAATTTAATTACGAAAGAAGAGAAACAAAGGAAACGATGGGCCGACCACTTCAAGAAGCTCTTGAATCGACCACAACCACCACCTGCACTGCATCCAGAAATACCACCTGCAGCCGCTGAACTACAAGTCAGCATAAATCCTCCAACAAAAGTGGAAGTCCTGAGCGTCATAAAACTACTGAAATGTGGGAAAGCAGAAGGACTAGATGGGATCCCGCCTGAAGCACTGAGAGCAGACACAGGGACAACAGCGGACATGCTCACACCACACCACTATTGCAGAAGGTGTGGAAGGAAGAGAAGGTACCTGCTGGTGGATTGGAAGAGGGGTTACCTTGTCAAACTGCCGAAGAAAGGAGACCTCAGTGTTTGTAAGAAATGGGGCGGAGTCAGTCTCCTGTCTACCCGGAGCAAGCAAAATATTAGGTGTCATCATCCTGGAGAGACTAAAGGATGCACTGGATTCAAAACTACGACCGGAACAGGCTGGCAGGTTTCAGGAAGTACAAATCATGTGCAGACCAAATTGCAACTCTACGTTACGAATCATCGTAGAACAAAGTATAGAATGGCAGTCAACTCTACACCTCCACTTTATCGACTTTGAGAAGGTCTTTGACAGCGTCGACCGAAAGGCAATTTGGAAACTGCTTCAATACTACGGAATACCACAAACCTTTATCAGCCTCATTCAACAACTATATGAAGATGCCACATGCCAGCCAAGTAATTCACAATGGGAAGCTCAGTGATGCTTTTGAAGTGAAGTGAAAACAGGAGTGAAACATAGTTGCCTACTATCCCCCATGATATTCCTGATTGTGATCTACTGGAGTGGATCATGCAGCGAACAGTGGGGAGTGAGAAGAGGGGGACACAATGGCTGGACTGCGGAAATGAACCTAGAAGATCTGGATTTCGCCGATGACTTGTGCCTGATGTCTTGTCACACAAACTTGAAGATCTACAGGCGAAAACTAACAGGTTGGCAGAAGAGGCAGCGAAGACGGGACTTCAGGTGAATATAGAGAGGACAGAAGTGGTGAAGATACCGCACCAACAACTCCAATAACAACAACAAACTCCAATCACCATCAGTAGGAGAAACTTAAAGGAAGTAACCTCTTTCACCTATCTAGGCAGTACTGTTTCAACCTCAGGCGGCACGGAAGAGTATGTCAAAGCCAGAATCAGAAAGACAGCAAGACAGGAGTTCAGTAACCTGAAACCAGTGTGGAGATCTTCTACACTGCTCTCAGCATGTGGAACAATATCCGGATTTTCAACACAACTCAGTCAAGTCAGTGCTGCCATGTGATGGTTCAGAGACTTGGCGCATTACGAAATTGATTTCCAACAAACTACAGACATTCATCAACAACTGCCACCTACTCTGGCTCGTTACTGAAGATCAGATGGATTGCCAGAATGGTGAGAATAAGCAACAAGGAGCTCTGGGAACGAACCAGCCAAGAATCTATCACCCAACAAATATGCAGAAGGAGGTAGTGGAGATGGATTGGATTGGATTGGGCATACACTGAGAAGATCGACTGGGGACATCATGCGCCAGTTCAGGCCCTCGAGTGGAATCCCCATGGGAAGCGACGAGTTGGGCGTCGGTGCCGAGCGTGACATGAAAGAGATGGTGCGAGGAATAAATGAGAGCTTGTTGGCTGTTATGGAGCCAGGTTGAAAAGATTTCAATGGTTCTCCAATTGATGTCAATCCGTGATGAACACTACGGCAAAAAATTTACTCACTGAATTTCAAAAGTTGTTCAGAATATCTTTTCTATTGATTCCTTTATAATTGTAAACATGCTACTGAACATTTTCAGTAATTGGGTACTACTCCTCAAGTTGATCTGGTAGATGCTGCAAGCCAGACTAGGTGGCCGTTTCACTTGTTTGATGTCAAGCTCATTAGCGGTCTACCCGGATAAATTCAACTCAAAGCCGTCTTAGTTAAAAACCATCAGAATCTCTCTAGCTGACTTGTAAGGGCCAGTATGCTTTAAAAAAAGATGATCAGTTTACAAACTGCACGGTTCACGTTGACATTTCTCCCAAATGAATAATTTTTCCAACTGCTCAGCTTTAATGTCAAAAAGGTTTTCACTGGGAACCACTTAGCTGAGGCCATAATTTGTGAACTGTGACACAAGCAAAATATACTATTACTCAACAATTTGAATATCTATAAACCACTTAGGCTGATCTGTAAATTTTACAAGCCACATCAGAGATTACATCTTGTGATCTTGACTGAGTGATATTCAACAGAAGCAGTGTTGACACTACAGTTGGGAAATTAGAAAATTACTCACCTATGAGAAGTGTTAGAGCTGACCGTGCAAATTGATCAGTGAAAAACCTGGGGGAGGGGGGGAGTGACGGCCTAAAATAGTTTATATATTGACTTTAAATGTGCGCGAGATAACTTGCCGCATTCTTCTGGAAAGATTAAAACTTTGTTACGTGCTTGTTAGTATGCAACAGTAGCTCATATTTGCAAGCCTGTGGAAACACACAGATGATTTGAGTATAAAAATACTTTCTCTCTGTGCAGGATTCTAGAATGTTAGTGCTGTAATATGCATTGAAATGTGTTGTTTCTTCCTTCTAAACGTTTCAAATCAATACTACACCTAAATACTTCAGTGCATTGAGCCACTGGGTTAGAATCCAATGCTCCATATTTCCAACTTCTGTTAGCTCACGATATAGCGCAACCGCCATCCAATGTCATCGTTGAGTAACTGTCCTCACGATCATCAGGCTTTGCCACCACCTGTCATGACTTCTCATTGGAACTTCGGGAATACCTCTCGAAGCTAGTCACCAATGAGCACCAGTTCAATTGAATTTTGAGGGAGTTGTGAAGATTTGGAAATATTTCAGACCCAGTGGCTCAATGGTAAGGTGCTGGCAGCGGAACCTGAAGGCCATGGGTTCGATCCCTGTAATGTAATGTGTAGGAGTACAGGCAATGACGAGCATAAGTATGTGTAGATCCCTGATGTCTTTTATACTGAAATAAGTTATTTAATAATTAACCTAACGCCTCGAAGCACTCTGAACTAAATACAGACTCTATTTATTTGATCTTAATTACTACTTGAAATAGTTCCTGAAATAACTTCAGTTTTTGTAAAGTATATATGAAAAGAATAAAGGAAACATTTCGTTAAACACTTGTGTTGTTTTTTAAACCAACAAAGGGCTTGTTAAATTTGGGGATTTGTGAGAACTTAGAGATTTTTCAAGTTGGCATTCATCATGGACTGTTATCAGTTTGAATAACATTGGAAACCTGGGATCACTGGGCAGCTGTTCAGTCCTAGTGTGGACTTCTTTAGGAATGTACAACCACGAACCCACCAGAGATTGAACCCAGTGTTCATTAGTGATTCCTGAAGTTCTAGCGAGAAGTCGTGACCAGTGGGGCAAACCTGGTGGCCGTGAGGACAAATACTCAACAATGACATTGAATGATGGTCGCGCTGTCATGAACTGACAGAAGTAAGAAATATGGATAATTAGATTCCGACCCAATGGCTCAATGGTAACATGCTGGCCACGGAACCTAAAGATCCTGGGTTCGATGGCTCGTATTGTGAGGCCTACTAAGAGTCCCATACTAGGATGAAGCAGCTGTCCAGTGCTCCAAGGTTTCCAATGTTCCTTCAACTGATGTCAGTCTATGATGAATATTAACTTGAAGAAAGAAGTGTTTTTCATCAGAAAATCTTTTGGAGAGATAGAAAACGTATTGAAGATTAAATTTACCCTCTTATCATCAATTTATTCAGTAACCATATATTTTATAAAGTGGATTGGAAACTTTTAAAGCCTTTTAATGTTTTTTTGTTATTTTTTAGAATTAACTTTGATAATCCAGCAGGACATACTAATATCAAGGAGCAGGATGATATTTATCGTAAAGAAGATGAAATACGTAAAGCAAAAATAGCGCTGGCTGGAATTGAAGTTCAAGTGAGTTAAATGTTCCAAGTGTCTACATATATATTATTTTGTTTTGCTGATTGACGGTTATTTTGTTGTTGTCACTTTAAATCTTACTTGAAAATGCTTCACTTTACGATGCTAAATAGGTAAGGAAACTAATTTGAAGAAAGCTTGTTTATGAATTTCAATTAAACAAGTTTACTTAAGTTGTTTACATACACTAAGGCCGCTATAAATATCTCGTATGTTGTTATGTACATTTGACGTTACTGGTCATTATCCTGTTCAAATAGTGTGTGAAATCATTAATTCTACAAGTGGTTTTAAATATTCTCTTCATTTATTATAATAGTTTTAATCTAGATTATTATAGTAAGCTTAAAGGACAAAATGCTGAATACCAAATGTAATTTAACTGAGGTGAGTTTCAGGGGAATCTATGGCGTAATAAATTTATGAAACTCAGTTGTACCATTTATCTTCCATTTTGTTAAGCTATTCTCCGTCTCACTGGCCTATATCTGACACTTATCGACAGAACATGGTGACATAGGGTAGGAATACATGGAGAAAGAATAGTTGTTTACTAGTAGAAGCTTATCTCTTGAAGAAGTCCCCACATCTTCGAACAATGCGAAATGTGCTACGCTCATATGATGTGGAAAATGTTTTTCGTTAAGGTGAATGATCTTGGTAGTGCTGAGTTCACTGAGCTGAGTGACTTATTCATGAAGCTCAGAGAACTAAGAACAACCAAGATTTATAAAACTCTTTCAGCAATTTCTTTTCCATGTTTGAGTCAAGATGATGACATTTTTACTAGTTATTTTCATTGAATTACAAGTCTATATGACTTTGTATAATTCAACGATGCCAAGCAATTATTGTTTAAATGCTGAATGTGGAAAAAAAGAAAAGAAAACTGAGTGATCGATGGAAGGTATTCATCTTCACTTTACTCATCTAAGTTATCTGCTAAGTTGAGAGACCAAGACCCACTATCTATAAAACAAAACTGTCGTGATATAGAGTGTTATAAAATGACCAACAGAATAAACACTAAAAATGTAACGATTCAGTTTCATATGAAGTTTTATCCTTATGTCAGTCGGTGATCAGTGAACACAGATTTTGGGAGACGTTAGATACTGACATCAGCCCACTCTATTGTGCTACGTTCTATTGAAGTATTTTCTTGAAAGATGAAATGATTATTCGGTTTTCATACCTCATAAATAATACAATCTGAAGTTAGGTACCTGATTCAATTTCAAGAGACTTAACGCAAATAAATATCAGCACGACAGTGTTTACTTTATTTAGTGACAAGAAGGGTTAAAATAATAAGTGGTTTCGTATTGATATAGAAATGATAAACAAACTGCTTGGTACACGTTGGTATTACTCACAGCTGAGTAGTTTTTCAACTGTTCAACTGTAGTGTCAACAGGATTTCCATTGGAAATCATCTAGCCAACAATATAAGGTAATCTGATCTCTGACACAAAAGTATCATGAACTAGCGAAATAAACCACTAATGAACAGCTTGAACAGTTAGATCTAAACGCCTGTAGTGGACCCAGACACTGACTATAATCTGGCTGGTGAAATAAGCAGATCAGCCCGAATAGTTTCTAACTATTCAAGTTACTCAGTATTTTATAATAGGGTTCCTAATGTTCGTTTACTCTTGATGTTTTTTGCCTAACAGACCGTAGAATATGTACCACATCAAAAAAAACCCATTTGCATGAGTGGGCAGTTTAAAAGTTTATACCCCAAGTGGGTTTTCATGAGAAGGCATAATTTAATAATCATTGTTCAGTTAATAAGATTTTCAAGTCATTTGGAAGTGATCACTTTCCGCTTATGAAATGATAATAACTTAAGGGTATTTACAAACAGGATAAAATGGACGGAATAACTAGTCGAGTAACGAATGCACTGTTGAAGGGAATGAGAAAATTACCTTCTTCAAATATTTGCTTTATCATTGAGCTGTGACAGTGAATACTCATATATATTTATGTATGCAAAATCTCGTAGCCTTTAGGAGACAGTTTTGAAATTTTTTGAAACGAAAATAATTCCAACATTGTGAACGGAAGTCTAGTTCGAGCTTCTTTAAGCAAATCTTCAAAAATTAGAGGGTTAAATATAAGTAAATATCCAAATATGTATATAAATGAATTCAGGACGTGTACTAAATCCACCTGTTCAATCCTATTCGTATAGTCATCGTTTCTTCTGAAATATGATTGCCAACCCTTCAGTATGAAACTGTATGTCTCTTGTTATATAGTGTGTGTGTATGTGTTGTTATTCATATTCTCATTGATAATAAATACCAGAGAAAAGCGCTGCTAGTGACATTGTAGTCGTTCAACAATCTTGTAAGTTCACTAGGGGATCTGAGTGTCAATTCAGTTGTTATATAGAGATCAATAGATCATGATAAAACAGCAGATTATTTTTGGACTAACAAAATCTAAACTGTCAGTGTTCTAAACAGTTACATTTGTTACCTTAAACGTTTTTCAACTTCGTGTGATTGACAAGTATGAAGTCTTGTTCAAGCATTCATCAGCAATTCTCGATACAACCAAAAATTCAACTGTTTTTACAACATTTTCAATCTGTGCTTAAGAATTCTGGGGATGTCAATATTTTTGGTAATGCGATTGGAAAGATTTCCATGTTTCATGTTATTAATTCCCCCGGAATCAATAATTTTCAGTAGTCCTTGAAAAACACTTGCTGAAACTGATTTAAGTATTGAGGTCGTATCAGTCACGGACTGACATAAGTTGGAGAACCACTGAAAACCTGGGAGCATTGGGTGGTTGTTTCGTCAGAGTATGGGACTTCTCAGCAATATACACCCACAACACGGCCCCGTAAGGGAACAAACTGAGGACGACCAGGTTTCATGGCTAGCGCGTTAACCGTTAAGCTACTGGGTCGGAGTTCATAGGAGACACCATAGCTGAAGTGCTGGAAAATCTTCTGTCAAGATGTATCAGTTGTAGCTTCTATGCTGCTAGACTGAGATTAGTGTTCTCCAGCCACCGTCTGATTCGTCAATGCTTGAAGGATAGGCTTCCACTTATGTCCACATCTATGTGTATCTACAAGTTCACATGCTGGTGTGGAGCTGACTATATTGAACGTTGTAAGCCGGCCCTCCGAAAATGTGTAGCTGAACACGACCCAGTTTGGCTTACCAGAGGTGAACAAAGGAAAACGCCTTCATTCATATATGGTCACTCAGCACCTCGAGATTCATACTTTAAAATAATTTACAAAGTTAAATTGAACTACTTCAAAGCGGTTTACTTTTCCATCACTTATGCATAGCTGAAGCTTTAGCTATACATGAACAAAAGCGAAAACTTTGCATTCAAAAATGTTTTGTGAAACCACCATCTCTACCTTGACCTTAACAATTCATTTGTTGATTTTGTCAATTTTCAGTTCACTTTGGTATGCTTCTCTTCTATTGTCATCATCATTATCACTAATTTTCACTTCATTGATAACATTTGACCCATATTTCACTTTTTTTTGTACATGTTTCAGCTTAATTATCACCATTTTACAATTCTTTGACAACACTTGTCTCTTATCTCACCACTTGTTATCAATTCGTGCCTCCTTATTCAATGACCCATTTTCTATCTGTTCCACTTGAACAAATACCACCACCTACACCGATTGTATAATTTGAACATTGACCGAGCAACTTTTTAATGCAATTATCTGTCACTTTACTGAGTATAAATACGACTGTACAGCTTGATAATGAAGTCGTGGAAAAGAAATGGTTCTTCTTCGCTGATACATGCCTTGTTCTTGTTAGTGAATCGTTCTTTGATGAGAGATGACTATGACTGTAGTCTGAATTTATGATAACAAACTGGAAACAATCAGTCTGAACAACAAAACAGCTAACCAATAACATAAAGATAGAAATTTCTACATGTACCTTTTGACAGTGTGTATATTTTGATGTTACATAAAAATCCGAATATTCTGCTGAAGAAAGCTGTGGCATACACAGCTTCACGTTCAGAAAAATCTTCTTTTCGACTTTCTAAACACGCTGGGATTATATAAAATCTTACCTATATAGTGAATCAAACTGACTCGGTGCTCAACTTCTTTTAGGACATTTGTAAAAGCTATGACCTGAATGTTTATAATCACAAGAAATGTTTGCTTTCAATCGTGTTCTACTTTCCTATTTGACATTTGAATTAATTTTTAAATCACATGCATGTAAAAGTTTCACGTGCGAAACATACATTTCAAGGTCATTTTACGAGTAGTCTAGATAAATAATCGTTTAAAATTCAATGATTCAATTTATATTCCATTTCCTGTTTGGCATAGATATTTCGTTAGTGTCACATCAGGAGATAGCTGTTCGCATATACTTCAAAAGCAATGAATAGGTTAATGATACCAACAGTAAAATCTCTATCTTTGTCAGTACTCATAATAAGAATCACTTTGATTCAAACAATTTGTTTGATACAGCATGGAACTGTTAGCATGTAGTATTTAAACAAATTTACTCCCTGTAAAATATTTTTAAACGAACTAATTAAACCATCTCTGTAATTTTGATAAGAACAGCATAATTTGAAACAACCGGCTGTTTTAAGGCAGAGAATGAATAGAAAAGCATGCGTAAATTTGGGGGCGGTTCAGTCAGTTAGAGAAGAGGCAGCGAGGACGTAACCTCAAGTGAATGCAGAGAAGAGAGAGGTGATAAAGATACCCAGCCAACACCAACACCATCACCACCACCAACAACAAAAAGCTCCAATCGTCATCAACGGGAGAAACCTAATGGAAGTAGCCTCCTTCACCTATCTAAGCAGTACTGTTTCAACTACAGGCAGCACAGATGAGGACATCAAAATCAGCATTCGAAAAAGCAAGATAAGCCTTCCTTCACTCACCTGAAACCAGTGTCCACATCTTCCGCACTACACTACACTCAGCACTCAACATGTCGAACAACATAACGATTTTCAACACCAATTCAGTCAAGTGAGCCACTGCAGTGCTTCCATGTGATGCTTGAGAGACTTGGCGGCGCGTTACGAAAGGGATTTCCAACAAACTACAAATATTCATCAGCAAATACCACCTACACTGGCTCCTTACTGAAGATCAGATAGATGGTCAGAATAGTAAGAATAAACAACAAAGAACCGTAACTGGCTGGCTGGCTGGCTGACAACGAACCAACCAACCAACAACCCGTCACTCAACAAATCTGCAGTGGACGGAGTTGGAGATGGATTGGGCATACACTGGGAAGGTCGACTGGGGACATCACGCGCCAGACGAATCAGGTCATCGAGTGGAACCCAGATGGGAGGCTACGTGTTGGGCGTTCGAGTTGAGGGTGACATGGAGGAGATGTTGTGAGGATGAAATGAGAGGTTGTGGGCAGTTATGGAGCCAGGTCGAACAGACTGCAGAGGACAGAGTGTACTGGAGACGTGCTACTATAGCCGTATATTCCATTGGGAACCCAATGGACAATAATAATAATAAATCAGTGAGTGCGAAAATCATCGGCAGTTGTATAGTGTAATTTTGTGGGTATCTAAAAGTCAAATGTCATCTGCTTTGACGTTTTATCTTTTTTTGTTTTACCATGCTAAACAGCAGGTAAAAAACGTTTTTAAAGTGCGCGGAAATGTGTATTAATATTTTAGTGATCAAAACAGTTTGATGCAGCATATTCTGCATAAAATGTTTCATAGCTTAGGGTTTAAGAAGATTGCTGTTGTTATGAGTATTATGTGTTCGTTTCTTCAAAGGACCCGAATTTTCCTTAAGTATATTTTGCTAGTTTGTTTCAGCTAGCGTAAAACTTACGCCTACAACTGATAGATATTTAATATCCCACATCGAAATACTCTGAAATTCATAGATATATGGTGTTTCCTTATTTTTCATATTACACTATTATTATCAGAATGAAATTTGAAATCTACAAGTGTTGATTCATTTGTTCAAGTTGTTATTCATCGTAGACTGACATCAGTTGTAGGAACAAAGGAATCCTGGGAGCACTGGACAACTGTTTCGGCTCAATGGTAACGTGCTGGCGGGTTCCATCCAGGGAGGGCGGGGTCGTGGGTACGCACTGCTGAGGAGTCCCATACTAGTGTGACGAAACAGCTGTCCAGTGCTCCCAGGTTTCCTTTTTTCCTCTAACTGATGTCAATCTACGATGAATAACAACTTGAAATATTTTCAAATCCCCACAACTCCCTCAAGATTTATTTGTTTACACAAATTAAAACAACAACCGAAAATAAGTAGCTGTAAACTAGGTCATTTGAAGGTGACCTTGGTTAAGTTTTAATAAGATTTAAGGCTATCCCATTGATGTTATACGACTATTTATTCAACTTATAGCTCATTTTAACTAATAATAAGCTTATAGTTGTTATTTCTCTTCAATGGGATTGTTTTTTTGAAGTGAATGTGTTAATTTCCTGTTAACTTTAAAACTGAATTCATAAACATTTTAGTGTAAACTTGTTAAGTGTTCAAATGTTCTTTATTCTAGCTCAAACGGTGATTACACGTAAATTGGAGCTCTACTTTTTTTAAAAACACATTAAAATTGTCGATTTAAAAGTCCTTTCAGATATACGAGGTGATAAATAATATATCCCTACAAATCACTCACTATTTTGTTTTGTCCCGCTAATCCAGCTGACTGAATTCTGATCATCAGTTATTGTTAAAACCAAGAAGAGTCATTTAAATATCTAATAGCGCCGTATGTATTTTTTTCACATTCAGAGAAATAGAAATACTTTATATTCAACATGAACATGGATGAATACAAACTTTTGACTGACTTATATTGTTGTTTACTTCATGGCTAGCACTAAAATCTTGGAAGCTTGTTTTGTTCTACTTGAGATTCGTCAACTGGAAGTACCTGCATTCCAGTAAGTGATAGTGTTTCCACTGGAACTCGAACCAAGTAGATATTGCTTCAAATGCCAAAGTGTTATTTACTATACCTCCGAAAACACAGGAGCCTCCTTTTATGCAATAGTTATCAGTCATTATTCATTGATCCTCTCAATTTCTTGTTGTTATCCAAGTTTGAATTACTGGATGTCTGTTGGAAGAGGCCTTGGTAGTGTTGGAATAGGTCTGGATGAAAAACGACTGAAATTAGAAAAAATCGTTCTGACCGTTAAGAGCATATAGATGAATTCAATATGTGAAACTATATCCTATGTTTGACTAATTTCATTCATATATATATATATATATATATATGTTTCCACGTTCCTGAATATCACACCATGCACGCAATGAAAAAGTAAAATAAAAAAATGGTCAGTCTTCGGGTCTTGTAGTACAACTAGCAGAAAATCTGACCGTAAACCTCGTAGTCGTTGGTTCGAATCCTGTTATATCTTAGATTTTTCACTTTTAGTTTCAATCATCACCAAGTATTAACTCAAGTCTGCCAAACTAAACCAATCTTAGATAGTTAAACTAATAATAAAAATGTGTTTTTATTTAGAATATTATTATTATTTGTCCATTGGGTTACTAATGGAACATACCGCTTCAGTAACACGTCTCCAGTACACTCTGTTCTCTGCAGTCTGTTCAACCTGGCTCCACGACTGCCCACAATCTCTCATTTACTCCTCTCACCATCTCCTCCATGTCACCCTCAACTCGAACGCCCAACACGCCGCTTCCCATCTGCATTCCACTCGACGACTTGGCCTGACATGTGGTGTCCCCGGTCAGCCTTCTCAATGTATGCCCAATCCATCTCCAACTCCTCCCACTGCAGATTTGTTGAGTGACGGGTTGTTGGTTGGTTCGTTGTCAGCCAGCCAGCCAGTTACGGTTCCTTGTTGTTTATTCTTACTATTCTGACCATCTATCTGATCTTCAGTAAGGAGCCAGTGTAGGTGGTAATTGTTGATGAATATCTGTGGTTTGTTGGAAATCCCTTTCGTAACGCGCCACCAAGTCTCTCAAGCATCACATGGAAGCACTGCAGTGGCTCACTTGACTGAATTGGTGTTGAAAATCCTTATGTTGTTCTACATGTTGAGTGCTGAGTGCTGAATGCTGAGTGTAGTGCAGAAGATGTGGACACTGGTTTCAGGTGAGTGAAGGAAGGCCTATGATCCTGGAGAAGATTGGTTCCCACTGCATGAGAGCCTTCGATGCTGTTCTGGACATCATGATAGCCACTCCAAAAGTCAGTGTGCTATTGGTTATTGTCTCAGTGACCGGAGTAGATTGGAGCAGTTTGGAGACTCCACTCCCATTCCATCTGCTCTCGCAAATCCCAAGCACTTCGATGTGATACCTTCTCATCTCGTTTGCAATCTGCGCAGCCTTGCTGAGTTCAAACATGGTGCGGACAATCCATGTCCCCACGTTTACTTTCGCTTTCATGGAGGGAGTGAAGACACATCGGCCAATTGGTTTCCCGAAGGCTTTCACCAATCGGCATCATTTTGCCTCTCCGATTCCAGCGGGGAACAAGTTTGTTATTATTTTTTATATTTTGTTTGTGTTTTGAAGTTTGTTTAGCGGTTAGATTTGTTTTCCGGTGTAGGGTTGCTAGCCCTATGTTCAACCTTCACCGTTTACGCGGGCTTAGGACCGGCTAGTAACTAGTGAACAAGTTAACCAGGCGAGGTTTTTATTTAGGATAGCTGAATACATAGTGTTAACAGGTAAATGTGTTAACTGATTGCCCCATAATTAATACACTTTTAAGCAAGACAAATTTTCACAGCATTATTGTTTCACTTGTCATCTTCTTAGCCTTAAAAAGACACTGTTAATTCTCAATACGCTGTCCACCAATTTATATCCATACAATAGTTTTTCTTTTTATTTCTTCCTTTAGTGATTGTTGTGAAGGGCTGCGTCACTTAAATCAGTTAAACTCTCTTTTAGTACTATAATTATTCTCATAGCAACAATTCTGGTTTTGAAAGGATTTTTTTAAGCATAGATTCATTACTATATTTACATTAAATGCCACTGTATTTATAATGAACATCTGTTTTTCTGCATTTATTTCATGATTCAGAGTAAGCAGTGCTTTTTAAGCCTTTAAAATCAATATCCGTTCACTTCCACTCATTTTCTTTAACTGATCCTACAGCTATGAAAATAACGATTACACGCTCATTACTCTTCCTGAATATCATAATGACATGGGAAAGCAGTAAAACTCA